TAGTTTGTTGCATTTTTACGAGAGCCCGCGCTGTGTGTTTGTGTTTGTTGCTGTGTCCGTTTTTGCATTTACGGAATTAAGCCAAAAGTTTGTTCCAAAGTTGTTTGGAGTAATTTGTTTGTTTTGTGGGCCAAGCACAAAAATCATTAAATTTAAATTAGTGCCAAAGTAGTTGTACAAAGCAAGTGGATAGTCAAAGGAAAACAAGTTATTAAATTTCGAGCTTTTTTTCGGCGGAGTGGGGATTTTCGGAAACGGAAAATGGAAAAGCAATCCCTTAATTCACCCCCGGGGATTGTTGCTGGAGTTTGAGCTGAAACTAATAAAAAGCTAAACAATTTCGGAGCTATTCGATGAAAATAATGAAGAACGTGAGACATTCGCCAGTTCTGGTTTAGTTGGCATACAAATACACACACATATAGAAAGAAGCGCCCCATGCTAGGCACATAAAAACAAATTTTATGACAAAAGTTTCGTCTTCATTGTTCTTACAGTGTGAGATACCATGCCATGCCATCCTATGCCAAGCGATGCGATGCGATGCGGGACAAATGAAAAACCAAACAAAAGTGTAAATAAATACAAAATAAATTTGATGAAAATTGTGCTGAAAGTTCATTTAATATGGATTAAAAGTTTTCTTGTTGGCTGGCGACTCGTGCGAACTGGAACCCGCACTCAAACTCAAATTCTCCAGAGTACGTATCTGTCTCTCTACGGCTTAATTCGATCTGATTTGATGGGCGTGGGGACTTGAAAATTCGCCCCGGCATTGCTTTATGATGATTGGCATTGGCATGCGAGTCTTTCGCCAGTAATTGGATTTTTAAGTAGTCAAATTCCGGATTCAGTCCCCTCCGAAGCTACGAATTCACATGCCTGTTTTCAGTGAGCAAATTAAATTATATGAAAACTTTGCAACAGTTATTCTCGGCTAGCTGCTGCATAATTCATTACCACTGGACTGAGGCTCTGCGAAGCCAAGAGACTGCGCCACCAACAGCAAAAGCAACAACTATGTGGGAATTTCGATAACTCACAAGTTTGGAAATTTGTGCGCAAATTAAATTAAGCTGTCACTGCCCACGCCACACTCGAGGCATCGCCATCCTTCCGTCCTTCCGCCTTCCTGCCCGACGCGTCGGCCCAACCTTCTATTTTCCGTTCTAGATTGAGAGGTAGGACTTCAGAGTCGAGAGCACAACACTCAGGCCACAGAAACTTTCTTCGGAAAGTGTCAAGTTTTAGTTGTCGTAGACGTTGCCGAAATTATTTTTTGAAGTTTATTACACGAAGGCGTGCGCGTGTCCAAGTATCTTGCATTCATATATAACACAAACTCCGAATGCGATTCTGTGTCGTGTGTCGGCTCCCCAGCGCCCAGAGATCGTTGACCAGCCGTCCCGGCCAGAAGTTCTGGACAACGTTAGTCAAACTTTTACGTTACATTTTATTTTTCTTGGAATAATTTCGCCCCAGTCCCAGTCCCGGCTCATTTGAGGCGCTTGTCCTTGTCATGATAAAAGTTGCTTAGTGCAAATTCAATAAGGCGGCATTTTGCATAAACGAGTCAAGTACGGGGAAAGTTGGACTCTAGTTCCAGAAATCTAAAAATGTTAAATGGTAATTTAATGAACCCTTTTGAGAGCCGCCCCTACCAAATTCGATTATATGATGTTGTGCTGAAGGGGTAAAGTTAGCCCTTAAGATAACAAAGGCTCAAATAATTATAAAAATTTTACATTTCATTTCCTTCTGCAATGCCCATACGTGAACCGATAAATTCTCTGTTTCTGAGATTCTTGAGAGACTGAAATCGTCTTCTTTTTGTCAGCTGCTGCACTCCGCCCAGCCTTACGCCCTTTTGGCCATCGTGAACGGCACTCAAGGAATTGTCAACTGACAACTGGCTTTCAGTGCGACAACCGCCTTCTGCTTGCCCATTTCGTTGGCATCCCATCTCATTGCTCTGTTTATTCATGAGACAGCAACACTTTTCTTAATAAGTCTTCATGTTCCCTGTCCATTGTTCTGTTTCTACTACCCACTGCCCACTGTCCACTGTCCACTGTCCACTGGCCACTGTACTCGTGGCCGGGTCAGCCCATGGAGCAAACATTGCGAATGCGATTGCGACTGAAAGTGTCCATCTGGCATTGAGGTCCCGCATCGTAACCCCTTTGCTGCACGGCCAGCTATGCGAAAAGTGTCACATCTGCCGCTGGACGAGACAGATGTGGGCGGTGGCAACGCATTTATTTATTTGCATTGTGCACTTTACTGAAATGAGAATATTTCTGATAAAAACGGGCCAACAGGCCAAGCAGTTTCTCTGCCAATTTAAATGAGATCAAGCCGTGTCAAATCTCCCTCGGGGTCCTGATATAAAGTGAATGGCTTCATCTGTGGCACTCTACACAGGCATGGTCGGCACTGAGGCTGTACTGGTTCTGTAAGGATACCACCGCACATCACTTATCTGCAATACACTGTCAGTATTTATTGTGCACTCGTACTGCCTCATTTGCGTTTTGCTTTAAGTGATTGCGAATTTGCTCGGTGTCAGCTTTAATGCGGTCCGAGCTCCATTCCGATGATGATTCCGAGTCCTTGCCCCATTAATCAGTGCATTCATGCACAATTAATGCACATTTTCGTTAATCACGCTCCGACTGCTCCTTGTGCACTTCCCATGAAACTTTAAGGGTTTTCATCAGCGAGAATATTACCGATAAGCAGCGATAAACATTGCACATCCGCCGTGTATTGCGGTGGCCTCAGAATCCCTGAGGGAGTCCCTTAATTGAAATTAACTTTGCTTAACAACAAAGAAATAAAATTAAATTAAACTTCCAATATTCAATCAAAAGTCATCTCTTATTATTAAATAATAATTTTCTAGAAAGGATTGAATAAAATTTTACCTTAGTGAAGGCAGTCCTTAGCCTTTCAACGTCAATACAACGATATTAATGCCAAAGTCAAGTAGCAGATCCCCGGGCTCCTTCTGGCTATAAATTTGAGCTGGAATCAATGGAATCAATTAACCTTGCTGGCTCGCCAGCTCAATGTTCGCTTTTTCCGAGAGTGCAGACTGACTTGAATCCAGGTGCCTAAGTCAAGGGATTGTGACGACAGCGTTAGCTGGCCATTTGAAATGCACACTTGGCATCCTGCGACACCCGGGTCAGGGGGTATCATGAGAAAAGCAAACAGAGACTTTATAACAGACACCATCTAGCCTCCAACTTCCCTTCCACTGGCAGTGACACTAACAAGCCACCGCCAATTGTGGTGGGGTTGGAAACATCATAAATAAATCAATTTGTAATTCGATGCGCGTAGCTAATTGATTTTAATTGTGCTCTGCGGTCTGTCAAACTCAATTTGGCGCACTCTTCGCTTTTCGACACGCTCCTGTTTTTGCAGGACATGGCCCTGGACGTAGAAGTGGACGTGAACGTGGACGTGGACATGAACATGGTCTCGCTGCCGTCTAATTGCACGTAAATAAGCCGCGGTTCGGTATCCGAGCTTTGAACACGGGACACGTGCATGCCTCTTCCATGTCCTGGCATCTGCAATGCAAATTAGTTGACTTCAATTAGCAGGCACTGCATCATTTTGTTGCATCCGTTTGGTCTCTGAATCAAAAATATTAGGCCGTGTCCTGCCAAAGGACCAAAGCATCTAATTGGACCTTCCGAAAGTCGAATTAAAACCAGAGCGGATGTTCGAGTGGCGCAACATGCGTGCCAAGTGTTCGTCGAATAATTGTAGTACCTTGTTGTGGGCCTAGACTTAAATTGATCGATGAGTTTCGAAACACATCGTCAGCTCTGATACTTTCAAATATTCCGAAAGAAATTAATTGCTTGTCTAAATGAAGGAAAATATGGCACAAAATCCAATCAAAAATATCTATATAATTAATGTTGGAAAAAGCGAAAATCCATTCTGTTTCTTGCCGCTCGAAAGGAGTTTATTTTTGTTGAAATAAAAGCAATTGGATTAGTGCAAGTAGATTGCATATTTTTGGTTACTTTGTCGATGATTGCTGAGACGTCAAGGATTTTCTGCATTGGCAACCAGCACCAGCACAGAACCGCATTGCTTCAGTTGAATTTTTATACATTCTGTTGCCATCAACCGAAGAGTGGTCGGTCGGCCATTATTTTGCTGCTTGTTTGCTTGCAATTTAATTTAAATACACAACCCAAAACTTTCCAGACGCTGCGTAAACGAATCGAAATGTGAATGTATTTTTATATTTACTTCAACTTATTTGCTGAAATATTTTCTATGCAAAATCACGCACAATTCAAATGCTTCTCTATAAACAAGTATTTGTGTTTTTTTTTCAAGAGCGAATAAGGATCCTTGTACATAGCAAGTGAAATATTTTGCGACAACACACACACAGCGTGAGAAACGAAGAAGGATAGAGAGTCCTTTGACCGGGAGTGGGGAGAAATGTAAAACGTAAGAAAACTACTCCTCTCGGCCACAATTGAAAAGAAATAACAAAGCGCGCTTCAATAATTTCGGAAAAGCGACGGGAAAAACTAGGAAGCACAAAATATAATACAAAATGCGCATGCAGAACGGAAACGGCAAAGGCAGCCAGCAAAAATGGAAAAACTTGCGAAAAACGGAAGGGGAGTATGCATTGCATTGCATTGTACTAGATTCCTTCTCTTATATTTCTTTCAGCTCTTCCGCTGCGTAACGGCAAGTTTTTTCACACTTTGGCAGGCAAACTAAATGCAGACAATAACCAGAAATGGGAGGAGTTCGCCAAATAACAAAGAAATACTCGCCTTTGTTGAACAAATTTTTGAGTAAGATTTCTTAACGCCAAAAATCAACAGAGGAAATTTATTGGATTGGAAAATCCCTGGGGTCACCGGTAGGTCAGCACAAATTAAATGGAAAGCAATGAAAGCCTGACCCAAGAATAAGAATACAAGGCAGAGTTTAAAATTAACACACATTTTATTTAATTTCACCACCATTTACAATATGCCCATACAAGGCTTTTATTTATTTAATTTAAATTAAATTAATTTAATATTTTACTTTAAATATATTTTTACACACATTCTCCTCACGTTCCATGCCCAAACACATACCTTTGATTTCTGTCATTGGTTTATTTAGTTCTTAAATGTTCTCATAATTTGCACATTTAAAGTTGAATCGGTATTTTGATGTACTTAACATATGTATTTTCATTTTATTTGGTTTTGCCTGCTTAGCTTCCTTTGACATTTATTTGTTTGTGTAAACATTTATATTTGAATTGTGTACGTCCTGCTTTTATAAGTTTTAAACTCTTCTTTCCATCGGCCATCCAGCTTTTGGGACTGTTTTACGACTAGGCTAGTTTATAAATGTTCTCTTAACCTTAATTTGTTTTTTGTTTTGGTTTGTGTGTGTTTTGGCTTTTTTTTTGGTTTTGGTTGTTTTTATTTTAGCTCGCTAGTAGATACCACATCTCAAAATGCAGTTTTTCTGGTTAAAACGAAAATCAACAAGAAAAGCAGTCATTAAATGAAGATCCTTGAAACTAACGAAATGGGGTTTGAATTACTTATGGATTTAACTAACTGGTAACACGCGCTTAGGCCAGCTCCTGTATCCGCGATTCTGGCCAGGCCAGTTGCTGTCCGTCCACCTTAAAGGCGCCACAGCTGGACAGGAGTGCTAGAGTGCATTGATGCTTCTCCTCCGCTCGTTCCTTTCGCTCCATTTGCTCCTTGGAATGTGACATCGGAGGGGCAGCCGTTTCAGTTGCGTAACTGGTTTCAAATGCAACCTCAATTAGCCCCAGCAGAGCCGCCAGTGTGGCCATTACAACGGGCGCCGCAAGGACGCCGGGCAGGATTCGCCAATTCGCCGCTGCGGATCTCGCGAAATATGTGCTGAAAAAGTTCTTCAGGCTCGAGTCGGAGGAAAGCGTAACTGCAGTCGGAAATGAAATGAAAGGAAAATAGAGGCGAAACCGGATTCGGAGTCGGAAGGCAGATGGATCAGTTGGGTTGCGGCGTAATTGGCTTACAACTATGGCAACTTACCACGTGCCGGTATGGGATCCTTCTGCGGTGTGCCGAGCTCGATTTCCTTATACTCCTGGTAGAGGTCGCCAATTTGCGCAGAGCAGCGCAACAGCAATCCGCCGGGATTTTGGTTCGAAGGGTAGCCCGGGCCCCCGTGCTCGTAAACCGAGTTCTGGCCGTACATTCTGTTGTAACTGTGCGGATTCACGCTCGAGAAGTGCACTGCCTGCAATTGCATCTTTAGCGAAACGCGCGAAACAATCAGGTTATCGATAGTGCGTATGTACTGGGTCTCCACATCGCTTATCTGAAAAAAAGATACAATTCCCAAAATTAAATATTAAGCCTCTCTCCTTTCAAGTTAAACAAAATAAGTGAAATTTAAGGATTTAAAATTGTTTTCTTGCAGAATATTCGTTGAAAGCTTAAAAGGTGAATTACAAAATTCAAATACATAAACATAAAAGAAATTACACGGATTACAGTTTTGTATAAAAAGAAATATATTATATAGCACTTAAAAAAATTGTTGATTGTTTGAAAAAAAAAAAATGATTTAATTTTATTATTATTTAAAAAACAATGATTAAAATAGTATCTACAAAAAACAGAAAAAACAAGAATCTTTCTCCGAATTATTTATTAGCTTAATGTTCTTTACTTTCATATTTTTTACTTGTTCTTTACTTTTATTCTTTTCAGTGCCTTGTGAAACGAACAAGGGGATTATAATTTTAGACTGCGCCTGTTTATTTTACGCTTGCAAATGCATTTGAATATTTTAAGGCGCTCCAAGGAGGTGGCGGGGCTTCAACATTTGGCAACGTTTAGCCCTCACGCTCGTAATACTTTTGTTTGTACTTCTTCTTCTTTTGGCCGGTCGGACGGACCGAGCAGAAGGAAAAAACTTTTGCCAGCCAGCATCTTGTCGCCATTTGCAAGTTGGCACAGTTTGCCGAAGAGCAATGGCGGCGGGACAGAGAATGGTCTGAAGCGAGTGGTACGGTAAGGGGATTTGCCACATGTGCTGGGGGACACTTCTGTATGCATGGAAATTATGTATCAAGGAACTTTATCTGTGTTAATGCAATGCAGCAAAAAGCGGCGGCGTCTAAGGACAACACAAACACCAAAAGCAAAGGGAGTTATTTCGAAAACCGACCACCAATCACCCTGCTAAAATGATTGCTTAGATAGCAACTATTTAATTCTAACTTTTTTGTCGGAAAAAACTTATATTTTTTTGTTTTATTTTATACCAAAAATGTTGATACATTTTCAAAAATAGTTTCGGATATGAATTCCCTACTTCCCTATCCCTACTTCAAAACTTGTAGGGAATACACTTTCCATTAATTTTTTTTGTGGAACCCCACACAATTGCGCACATTAGTGGCTGCAGCGTCTGCAGTCCTTGCATGTCCTGCCGATAGGGCAACGGTTTGGGTACATTGGACATGGCCAGCACCGCCTGCCTAACAGCGAAAAGATCCAAAACTGACGAAAGTTTTCCCAGTTCCCTGCAGGCTGTGCCAGCTTTTGCAGCTTGCCTTGCTTGTACTGTGCCTTTTGCTGAGGGCTTCCCTTTGCCATTGGTCCACTAGTATGTCTAATGCGCTATTTGTGCCTTTCCTTTGGCTTGCATTGGGCCAAATCCTCATCCGCATCTGTAGCTGTAGCTGTATCTATATCTGTGTCCACGTTCTCGCAGCGTAAGTCCACTTTATTTGCGCCATCTCTAAGATGCTTAAACTTGCATTTGGCTTAAATGCTGCCAGCAGCTCCTTCATGCGAGAACAGCTTTTATGCTTAATGGCAGTTATTTAGTGCAATTCACTGTAAAATTGTTGCCATAGGAGAATGTGCCACTCGCCAGCTCCGAGTCCTTCTCTATCTCCACCATTCTCTTCAGTTCACTACAGCTCTTCTCTAGTTCCCCATGAGAAAGTGTGTGTGTGCAAAAGGATTTGCGCTTTGATAAATAATTTTTAGCCATACGCATGTGCATGCCAAAAAGCAGATGTTTAACCAGCAAGAGTTCTCCTACCATTTTCATATTTTTCTTGGCACTTTTCTTTATTCTTTCTGGGCTTTGCATACATGGGAAATTATATATTTTTAATAGTGGTGTCCATGGAGGCTGCCGGAGCCTCCAAAGAATTCAAGCCCCGAACTTATGTGCGAATTTTCGGCAATGGAGCTGCATATTGTATTGCAGCTTATAAGAGTTTTTGGTAAGTGTTCGACTAATGGAGCATGTGTCCTAGATAAACTGAAAATATAGCTACTTTATGGGGAGCGCTTTAAGTCATAGATCTCGGCTTAAACTCAAGAGCAATACAAACAAATATTTGTAGTGAATTCTACAGACTTTTAGACCAATTCTATTTTAAAATTTAATTTTAATTTTTGCATTAAAGAGGCATTTGAATTCGCTCCAATTTTAAGTTTAAATGGGAGCAAATAGTATTTGGGTTCAAACCCATTCCTTTTTCCTGTGACACTTTGACTGCAGGCATAAATTTCCATGTATTCGTTCAACCGAAACTTTTGTGACTCCCTTCCCAGACCGATTCTCCGAAAAGTACAATAAATATATTTTATATTTCATCCAATATAGTGCAAAATTTGTCCCCCAACTCTGGGTGTGCGTTTGTGTGTTTGGGGCCAATGCATTGCCAACGTATCAATAACAAATAAATTGTGGATAGCACTGCAATATCTTTCGGCCCGTTACTGCGCCTTTTTGGGGGTTACTTTGGGCCTTCTGGTTGCCAAAAATGCTAGTAGGTACAGAAAAAAAAACTATGGCACAAAGGACTATGGCTGCCAACTGCTGGCTGAGAAGCTTTTTCAATTTTCCGCTAAATTTGGCAGGGCTCAAGTGCTATTTGTCTTCATTAATGCGAATGCGCCTAGAAGTTTGGCAAACGCCTCTCAAAGATTCCGGAGTCCAACGTTCGTTCAACCCTGATGATGGCAAATTCTGCGTAGCATTTTTAAGCCGACGCCAAATGACATGCAGCAGTTATTAATTGGCAATTTACATGCCGAATGATTAATGCCCAGGCCCCGGGCGGAAACAGGCAGGACCCCAAACAGGAGCCACAGGAGCAGGCTGAAACCAAAAGCACATATGTCGCAGGGGTAGATGCTGATCTACAGTTGTGGGCAAAATAGTAGAGTTGGGAAATATTTTGAATTTCTCAAAGATACAAAAACATACTCATAGATTTTGTAAGCCTTATATTCCCTAAAGATTCTTTCCATTTAAATTGTATTTTTGGAATTTTTTCTCAAAATGTTAACCTCTGCTGTGCGTGGGTGTAGTTGGTCCTTCAGGGGGTTGAGGGTGGAAGCATTTGGGTCCGGACCTCTTGCAAATTACTCCTGTGGCATTTCACCGCAAAAACTTTTGTCAACAGAAAGTTGTGGCTCCTTGCCGGCGCACCTTTTAACGTAAACTTTGCTGGAAATGTAGGAAGTGCCTGAGTGTGCGTGTGCTTTCCTTCCTCGGACCCCTTTCTCATCCTTGTTGATTTGCACAGCATGAAATATTCATTTGTTTCCTGTGATCGGCAATTGTAATATATCTTCCTCCTGCGGTATCGTTTTCTACTCAATTTTAGTCAATGTCTGCCACGTTTGCTTACTGTTTGTTGTCTGGCTGCCATTGGTTGCCATTGCCAAAAGTTCTCAGTGGCCTTGCTGGTGTCTTCGTCGGCCCCTGTCTCCCTGGCATAGCAACTTAAACCACACAGCATCGGTGGCAGCTCCGAGAGGCATTGCCGATAAGCTATCATTTCATTTCCAGGCAACAACCCGTTTGAATATTCTCCCGGACGGAGCCCGGAGTTCGTTCCGGGTGAGAGTTATTGCGGTGCAAATGATTTGAATTCATTTATCATGTTTAATGCGAGCATGCCAAGTGCGCTTCTGGAATGTGGCAACCATTTTTCAGAAGCATTGACATCGCTAGACGCCACCGCCTTTAAAGTGTCAGGGGCTGGGTCTTAAGACTAATAGAGAGCATATCCTCAAAGAGGATTTTGGCTAATAAAATCAGCACTTGAGCAACAGGACCTTTAGCTCCTGCTCGTATTGTGCTTCCAAAATATTGTATAAAATCCATAATTTGAATTTTGGTATATTTGGTCCAACGAAAGGAACGATTTTCTTTGTTCTGCGATAACAATGAGAATCTGATCCGAAGCAGTGCCTCTATCCACTCCTAGACAGTCATGCAGAAATGTTTCGATGCAAAATTATACATTCCTTTAACCTTGTAATTCCATTTTCCTACCAACTCTTCTGGCAACATTTTCCCCAAAGCAAGATTCTAAGCATCAAGAGAAAATGTAAAGCTGCTGAATGGGGGAAACTTATGCAACCTGTTAAGCACGTGGCAGGATATACAGACTCCACTTCAAGTTCCCCTGGCTCAGACAGAATCCTTTTCAAACGCAAATAGAACGAAAACCCAGAGCCTTGCCTTGACCGATTCAACTGCTCTTGACATCCAGGGGCCTGGGGTCAAAAATTTAACCCAAGCGTTGGTGGTGGATAGGTGGCGCGTCGCATGTGGCATGCATATTCATAAAATTGCAATGGTTAAAAAAAGTTTGCAGGAAAAGAATACAGTTACTCCACAAGCTCTGGCACGGGGCGGCACAGGACAACAATGGCAACATGACAATGACGACAGCTACCAAAAGTGAAAATCCACATGGAGTGACAGCCACAGAGTCTTTGCAAGCACAGCTGCGGCTTCTGTTTGCAATCTTCAGAGCTGGCAGCTTGGCTTATTTATTTTTAAGCCATCTAATGTACAAAACCACATTATTTTTAAATAGATATGGTACTTTTCCAAATGTTAGCCTATTTTTTATCTTTCTTTTATTTTTTACTCATCTTTTTTCTAAATTGTTTTCTAATTAATAATTTTTTAGTTATAGTTTAAAATTATTACTCCATAATAATAATAACATTTACACATTTTTATAACCCTGTAAAATTATCATAACATGCTTGCTATCATCTTGCAGTTGAGACCTTGTGACATCACAGAAACAGACATGACGATCTGGTTATGTTTGCAACCGCTAAATGACAAAGAAGCCATCCTAGTCACAGATGCGGTACTCTATGTTCCCTGCCTTATTTTCTCGCCCTTATTCTGCTTCGGTCTCCGCACATGCATTGTTAATTCACATGACAATCCTTACGCTCGCTGGCAGGCTGTGAAATTGCGCATACGCCACGGTGACGGATGGACGAGCCCCCAAGGCCAATGGTAGCCGAAAAAACGCACAACAAAATGAGGGAAAGCTCTGCAGAAAAACCCTTTTGATTAAAGTCTTGTCCTAGCCCATTTTCGTGTTCATTTCTCAGCAGAATAGACAAGCACTTCAAAGGATACGCCCTGCTTTGAACACAAAATAGCCGCTGACCCGCTGTCAGATTTGTTTTTCTCACAGCCGAAACATAAAATAAATTGAAACAGACCAAGCAGCCAGGTTAGTAATATTTCATTGGAGTGATTGCAGATTGGAGCTGGGAGTACTCACCACCATGTTGTTGATTGTGAAAGTCAGCTCGGCCCGTGGACGTGAGGGATGTGTGCTGCAATTGGCTCGCAGGACATCACCAGGCTCATATCGCGTATGCTCTGTGGCTAGTAACGGACGTTTATCGGGAAGTTCTGAAAATAGGAGTTAAGAATTTGTTCATTATTTTAAAAATAAATTCTTTATTTTATTTATTTTTTTTTTTAATAATTTTTTTTTTTTTGTGTTTGGGATTAGGCTTAAGCGAATTCAATTAGTTGACCGGACGACTGACACAAAACACATTAATAGAGGCATAAGTGGAGCCGGAAACCCCGAGAACCCTTCAATCACAACCGCAAGGCCACGGCAGAGTCCTGCTCACTTTCTACGCTCAACTTTTTAATTAAGTCAACCAAGGCGAAGACACCAACGCCACCAAGAACAACAGGAGCCTCGGCACCAGAACCGCCACAGGACCAGAGTCCTGGGAGATGGGTGGCCAACAAAGTAACTAATGAAGAAAGTAATTTCCATGACAAAGGCGGCAGCAACTTTGCTCTTTTCCCTGGCTCGAGGCAACTTTCTGTGTGTCTCGCTTTCTAATCCCCGTCCTTCTGCGCTTTTTGCCTTGCAGATTTTGACCTTTTTGCGGGCCAGCATCGAATGTTTCTTGGCCTGGCCCGGACCGGCTTTCGTTGGCTTTGAGCCCCGTCAAATTCGCCCTAATGAGGGTCAGTCTCAAGACTGTGGAGACTCGAGTTTAATTTAGCAGCTGACCAGCCTACTTTGCACTTGGTTTTAGCTTCGACTCGTGTCATTAAGTTATTAAAGTTAAGGCTGCCCAAATGTTTGCCAACTATAAACTTTTGACTCGTCGTCGGCAGAGATGTGACTTAATGAAAGCCAGAATTAGCATAACTTTTGCCCGAACCCAGCCCGTCCCACCCAGTCTTTCAGATGCGGTTGGGTATGGGTGGCCTTGAGCAGACGGCGGCCCGCTGAATGGCCCCGCCCCGCAAGGACAAAGTGTTTATTTTATGTGCCACGCAGACGCCGAGCTGAAACGCAGCCGCCTCCTTTCAGGCTTTCAGGCTCCTTGGGCCGCAATCTGATTGCCACTTGAGCTCATTAACACACGATTAAACCTCAGAGTTATTTACACCGAGGACGGCGCATAAGCGAATGAGTGCGCACAACTAAACCGACGACTGACTGGCTCGATGCATAAAACATCAGGCGGAGCAGCAAGGAACTTGGAACTATGCTAAGAACCAGAATCGATGAAATTAAAGCGCAAGTTTACGCAGATGAGATGGGCTGGCGATTGTTAAAGTAAAAGAAATCTGAGCTAGCCACAGGACTTCATGGCAGCTTCACAAAAAAAGTTGCTTTACTTCTCTGAAAAGAATTTATGAAATAAACATAGAACATAGTGTATTCAATCTATTCTATACAAGGATTTTTAAGGTGCATTGAACTTTATAAATAAATTAATTTTATTTTATAATTTCAAACGCCCAATGCCCAATACCTTTGGGTTAATTTGTTTCTTTTCTAATTTCTAATCATATTCGTTCTAAAAATCCAATGATAGAGTGTTAGACGGTTCCCTCAGTGTAACTACAATATGGAGCCTATTACTGGCCCTTCCTGCTGGTGGCTACAGTAATTTATTGTTTAGCCGGCAAGTTATTGGGGTTTTAGTGTCGACGACATTAGGCCTAAGCCGCAGAAGCTTACGCACATACAAACACAAACGAACCGGCACACCCACAAAATAGAGCTACAGAGATATAGGGATGCATAGATATGTATACTGGTAAGCGAACAACCGCCAAAGCCCGAGATTTGAGGCTGGCTGGCGCTGTCAGTGTGTCAGTCCCCGGCCGGCTTATCTAGCATTGATGTATTGTGTGTCCCGGGGACCAGAGAGCAACCAATTAAATGCCGCAGCGTTTAATGAAACTTTAATAACTTGAGCGATGCGTCCTTGAAGCGCCGCGGGGCATTGGCAGGCTCATGAATTTAAAGCAAATACGCACGATCAAAAGCTTTAATCCCCTGATGCCAGTTACGCAAAAGCGGCCAATTAAATGGGCTAAATGCGGCGTTAAATATAAAGCAGCCAGCGAGCAGGAGGCAGGAGGCAAGCGGCTGGCGGCATGACGGGAAGACGTTAAGGCATTGGGAATCTAATAAAGGCCAGCCCAGAACGTCAGACATCTGAATGTTTAATGCCGGGCAACAAGCAGCCAGCGAGCCAGTCAGCCACTGAGCCATTAACCCAGTCGAGCTCTCAATCAAACACACGCACACCCAGCGGGTTCCCGTTCGAAGGACCCTCGAAGGGGTTGAGGAAATAGGGCGATAGGGAATAAATCCAGGCCAGCAAGTGGCATAAAAATCAGCGACTAAGCAGAATTTAGCTGTCGAAGCGCATTGGTGAAATGCCTCAGGCTAAGCGGATGGAAAGATTGAACGAGACAGGCCCTAGAATCAGGTCGCATTACGCATACGCCCCATATGCTGCACTCGCAAGTGGCGGGGCAATTGTTCAGCCTACACAGGAAAAATACAAATCCCATCGCGGCACTCCACTTTGTAAAATGATGTTGCAAGAAAATGATAAATTTAATATAAGGATGTATCTCGTATTAAATAAAGAAGGAACTTTCTTTGTTCAACCCCATTGCTTGTACACGAGTGGCTGGGATTTAGTTGCCTCTTTAACTCCCCAGACAGAGTCTCGTCCCATTATTGCCAGCTGCTGGCAGCGTAAAAGCCAAATAATTGTTAAGCCGAAACGGACTACTGCTCATTGGATTTCATGACCCTGCCACGCTGATTAAATTCGTAATTCAGAGCGGGCTCCGCGCCACGCTCATTTAAAACGCATAAAGCCGTGAAATGCGTGGGGCACAGGTAAGACTACCAAATGACCCCAGACAGAGGCCACCCCCTTGCCACACCACCCTCATTTGCTTCATTTCCCAGCCACCAGCTTATCTGGCAAAGACGAAATGGCCTGTTAATGACGCAATTTTCAGCGCAAAACTTTAGCAACCAGCACCGGGCCGGCAGCATCGGCATCAGCATCAGCTGCTGCGACCTTGGCCCCTTGGAAAAACAAATTACCAAAGAACCAAAAAACTTTTACTCTCCAACCACACAGCACTGAATTTAGCCACGGACCGATGCTCGCCGATCAAAGGAGAATGAATGTCAAAGGCTGCCCGATAGCTGATACTCTCACCCACTTTCGCTTGCCCCTGGAAGCTAGGAGCTGGAAGCTTTTAAGCGCACTTTAGGCCAATTTGGTGAATCAGCTTAGTCGGAGACAGGCCAACCGAGCGAGATGAAAGCGAAATGTCCTGAATGAAACTTACCAACAACTTGCATGGTGTCCACTGCGGTGGCGGTCGAAAAAAGCGGGGCATCGGCGGTGACTTCACATGAAAAGTTTCCAGAGAGACCGAATCCAACATTGCGTATGAGTACCTGGGTGGCATTCGAGCTGGTTACCTGTTGAGTAAAAACAAAAAAATTAATACATGGTCCATGCTCTAAAAAAACATGCAAGTTTTCTCATTCTAAACTGAATTATTTGAAGGCGAAAAAGTCCATGGAACTAAGTATACAATCCCCAAGATTGGGGTAAAACTTTAATTTGTGCCGAAGGAGTAATATTATGCTGCACTTAAACAAACTGTAAATCGAGTTCACCTGCCATCGCTCAGCTGCCCGCAATCTGACATCGAGTCCAACAAAGAAATGCACTTAAATTTATTAAAACAGCTTAAAAAACAAACAAATACAAACTTAGCCACCAGCCAACAAACAGGAGGCAGGCAGCCAGCAGAGCAAAGCGACAAGAAAAAATTGCCTCCGGCTAGGTAAAGTAAAAGTTTTCGACGACAAAACAAAAAATAAAATAGAAGAGAAATACAAAAAACTAAAGATAAACTCACTGGCACAAACTCAATAGCCTGATGAAATATTTAGCCAGATTCGGAGCAACTTTATCGAAGCAACGAAATTGCAAGAGCCCCGGCTGCTGCCGCAACCCTCCCATGCAATCCCCATCTTTTACCGCCGCCTGGATAAACTTTTTCAATAATCTAGCCAAAGTAGAATTACCCCAGTCGAGACTCAATTCTCCGACCTCAGCCTGGGCCACGCCTCCACAGCCAAGCCAAGCCTGCCTGCCTCCGTATCCGATTTTCGCTCAGCAGATTGCAGTTTTTTGCAGGTGGGCGACAAAACTCAGACGCAGCATGCAAAAATTTAAATGAAATTTTTGCCGCAGATAGCCGCGCGTTGATAGCGCCCACAAAAGCTGGAATTCCGGCAGAACGGCAGTCGTCCGGCCAGGTGTCCTCTGGCATTTTTTGAATAACCGCCAATAACAATAAAACTGCCAAACTGAATATGCATGAGCGGAAAGTTTAAAATATACAATATAAATAAATGCAGTGTGCGCGCAATTAAGGACCTCGAAGTGGTGTTTCCAGGAACCACCGATTCTGCTTTCTTTCAGGCTCAATGGCCAGCAAAAAGTCTACGTTCTTATACAGGTTTTTTTGTCATGTTATTCTTTTTGGTTCTATTATCCCAGACTAAGGATTTTATTTATATTTTATTTAAAAATTTTCACAGATCAACTGCGAGAATAAAGCCCTTAATCTACTTTTTTATAAAACACAATCATTTGACTCAATAATATAAATAAAATGGATTCATAATCTGTTTTTAAAACATGTGCCAAAATCTGATTAACTTTTTTTTTAAAAAAAAAGCCATCCTCGAACCAATTCTTTCTAAGGTACTTACATCCACATGAATGCCGGGGAATGGAAACACTTTCGTATTGGGAAACTCGCCGGGGGTGTATCGATAGAACTCCAATTGACCACGATAGAATTTGGCCGAGTAAAGTGGGGCCCCCTCCAGGTCGTACATGCACTTCAGCACCACATGCTGGCCCCGTCGCACCGCCGGTGGTTCGATGATTAAATTGACATTGCGAAGCGCGCATTCGACGAGCTCTGAAAAACATAGATGGAAAAAAAAACTTTGATGAAAATACGTCCAAATGCAAAGCCGGGGGATTCCAATTTAGTGTATTTATTTAAATAAATTATTGAAATATTGTACCAGAGCATGATCGGTGGTGACACTGATAATACATAATCCACCGCTTAAATGCCACATAAATGCTTGCTTTCCAGTTGACGCAGTTTGTTTTTGGTTCTGGTTTTATATTGCCAGAAAGGTTTATGGTTGGCATATAAAAGGATGCAAAAATAAATTTACCTGGTCTCGGCGTAAATACTTTCTCCAAACATTGAACATTGAATTTAAAATAAATTTTAAACGCATACATGCAAATGTTTAACTACGAGTCTTCTTAAGGCTCATAAATAATTATCTCAGTTATTTATTCATATATTCAACAAAACAATAAAATAGTGGGTATTTAAAAGTTCACTCCATGAAAACCACTGATTTAGATGTGTCCGTTTTCTATTTTTGTTTTCGGTCAACTGACTGTTATATTTGGCGCTTAAATGATTTATAAATATTTTTTCAGCCGTCGAAAGCTTGATAGATTATGGTGGGATTTTTGGGGCAAAAATACAAAGCAAGCTCACAAAATTGAAAATATTGAAATGAAAACGTCTGGCAACTTTTAAGCCCGAAAAAATTGCCCAACTCATAAAATGATTTATTTGGTAAGCCGGGAGATAATTTTGTCATTCATGCCAAATACCAATAGATTATATTACATTTAGACTTTTCCGAAAGCAAAATGCTGTATTATAAATCAATGCCAGACGCTTTAAATATGCAACCAAAATGATGTCTAAGGCCACTAAATCGAGCCCCCAAATCCCTGGCGACCTTGGGCAATTTTCTTGTTTGCTCGCCAAGTTTTATTAATTACCAAACAATCAACGCCAATTTCCGGCAACTTTATGGCCGCCCATTTCTGAGTCGTTTGTCAACAAATGCGTAGCATAATTCAAGGCGCCAGCCAGGAAGCTCTTGCCCTCGCGTTCCTGCTCTTGACTTAACCAAATGCCATGGAGTTGGCTGTTTTACAGCGTCTCCAACATAGCCTAACAAGGCACTCAAAAATTTTTTTATATCTTATTTGGGTCACATTTCATGCGGCTGTGCCCTTAAGAATAATGGCACATAATTTGCGGCTTTACCAGCAGTCCCTTTGAGAGAATGGGATAAAGCTGGGAAAGGAAGGAAAGCGAGAATAAAGTCCGTGGAATGTGAGTCAAGGATTCGGTTCCTTGTAAATCTCTCGCGAGGCGAATAAAATAAAATTGTTTTCATTTTTTCTACACGCCAGCTGTGCGTAATTCATTACCTTCGGGAGTTGTTTGCATATCACCCGATATCTTTTGCCACTCGATGGGAAACCCGCTGCAGCATGCTTTTCCGAGGCACGACCTTCCGAGGCATGGATGGCTGGTTGGAGGAAAATTGGTATGATTTTCATTATGCCACCGCTGTTGCCCTTTAACATTTACTCCATTTGCAGGCTGTAAAATGAATTCTTGCACATTGACCTTAATGACCACCGGGGCCTGCTGGCATAATTGGCCAACTGCCCGTGCGTCCTGGCCAGGGACACCAACAAAACTGAAAAGAAACCTCCCAAATAAAGGAAAAAAAGAACGAAATACCTGCCTGGCAGCGCTGAACTTAAGCAGTTTCTTAAAGTAACTGCTAGCCACATAAATATTTGCACACTGAAATCGAAAATTCCGCTTGTTTGCCAATTGAAAATTGGAAAGTGCTGTTGCAGGTGCTAGCCCGCTGAGAGTTTTCCCAGCAGCAGCAGCAGCAGGAGCAGCAAAGAAAAACTAGGACCTCGAGCTGGAGCTAGAGCTCAAGCTGAAGCTGAAGCAGCGAAATGCAACCGCAAATACTTGCTTATTGCTGGCAAAACTTTGCTTGTTAGTGTTTAGGTGGAAAGTGCAGCAAGAAATCATAGCAATAGCACAGCACAGTTGGGTGCACAACTGAGCCGCAGGAAAACCAACACAGGGCATCCAAACAATGTCTATAAATCCAGTCGCACACATACGCACAGGCAGCCTCGCCAAGAAATAGTTGGGAAGGTAAAAAGTTTGCCCAAAAGTCACATATTTGTTCGATTTTGCTAAGTGCCAGCTTACAAGTGCCTTGTCCTTATCCTTTTGCGATTTGTTTACATGGCATGGAGTCGAATACCCAGATACAGGCCCCACCGGACCCACCTCCTACCGATTTCTCTCGATACCCGGGGATCTGGATCTGAAGGACGGAGTTCCCACTACTAAATATCAATGCAGGTGGCCCGGGTTTTTCTTTGTTTTCAGTTTGTCTAACCCACACTGCCAGGTCTCAAACTGGTCTTCTCCACCGGACCGAAAGTCAACACTTTTCACGCTCCTTTCACCGCATTTTCTTGTCCTGCAATCGCCTTGTTTATTGTTGTCCGATCTGGCCAGAATGCGTCATTGTTGGGTTTTTCATCTAGTTAGGTGAGACCGCAAGTGAGACTGAACTGAAAAGTTAAAGTGCTGCTTTTTACGGGCCAACTCCAGCGGTCGTTGAAAATTTATGCTTACCAGCACTTCGCGTACTCTCAAAATTGCTGAAATAAACCATTTGCTAAAACTCAAAACGATGCTACTTTCAATCTGGGGTTCGATTTGTTTCTAGTTGAAAATTTGGGCATAAATGCTTTTGCTTTGGTGAGTGGATTCCTGAAATCCTGAAAACGTGGGAGGCGCACAAAATAAACAAGCTCCCATTTCCGATTCGAAATGGGACGATGTGAATATCACAGCATTATAATTTGCAGAGTCGCTTCCATGCCAAGGGAAGTCTAAAACAAACAAACAAACAAACATTGGGGCATCTGCCTGGTTGTAATATCTATGTGCATTCATGTGTACGTGTGGTGAGCATTGTCCCGGCATTTAATAGGCTTTTGTTGCACAGCCTTCAATGGAAATTGTTAAGTCCCGCTGCTGTTATTGCTCCTTGGCATGTTTACCAGGAGCTTCCACCCACTGCCCATTTCCTCCATTTTACTCCCAATTCTGTTTCAGTTTCCCATCAGCGTCCTCATTGCCTGCATGGCAGCTCATTGAAAGATTTATCATTCACCAGAAACAGCATGCTTTGAAAATGAGAGGAAAGCCTGAGAAGGGAGCAATACACTGTCAAAAATGTACACTTGTTTTTTGAGCTGATTAAAATCAAAGCCCATTAGCATTTCCAGAAGCTTGTCCCTTAACAAACAAACAATAAATATTCAAGGATATTATTTTATACTTCATCTAATTTATTTATCGATTTATCTGACAGTGTTTAGCAGATGAGATAAACCACCTGTCTGGGGTCCTGAATCCCAGCCACTCGTGTTGACACAGCCCACATAGGCGTCCCATACACATGCATAATGGAATTTCTAATAACTGCCTCGAAACAGTCGAGTCCTCCTGCTGGGTCAACAGCATTTAGGAACCCAAGGCAGTGACAATAAGCGTGCTGTAGTTCATTTGCTAGAATCGTGTTTCGGTTTGTTTTCGAACTGGATGCCGTCAGGGTGCCCATGTGCACTTAGTCCACATGCTGCTCGGTAGTAAGGAGCTCACATTTCACTACCAGCCCAGCGCAGTTCATTCAAAAGCCACAGCAATTTAATTAACATAAAAAACGCAACTCGCACAATTCGAAGCCATAAATCAAAAGCCCGCACACGCCCAGTAGTAAACTAATACCAGGAAAAAACCGGGTCCCAAAAAAAGCAGGACCAGAAAAATGTCTGGCAAAAACTGCAATCGGTCAGGAAAAAGGGTTGGTGCTGTGGACGGAAAAACGCTTCTAATGAATCCAAAAATGATAGTTACGGTCCTGGCTCTTGTGGAAGTTCTGCTCCACTGGAAATGGACTTTCGGCCGGAGTCGGTCTTGTATTTGAATATGGAGTTACTTTTGTTTTTCCGCCAAGTTTCCTAGCTGTGCTTGTGTCACAGCAAGGGAATGGGGGCCCAACCCAAAACACCGATCCGAAAACATAGCCCCACCAACCCGTTCGTGTCCAGAGGGTATCAGCATAAACAAAGGACCAGCATAATTTAGTTAAAATCCCCTTTGTCCGAGCGGGCGTGGCACACCTCGGCGAAGGAAATGAAAAATGCTGATTATGAAAACGCAAACCGTAATTGGTTGTGTATGTTGTGTGGCGCCTAAGTCGGGTGTGTTACTGGGTGGGCTTATAAAGACTCATTTTGATTTTGATTTCACAATTTCCATTTGCTAATTGCTTGACGATTAAATTGAATTACGGATGACAATTTAATTATGTGCCCGATAATCAAATATTGAATTAAATAATAAAGCAAAAACACCAAATAATTTAAATTACATTTAAATCGCTGTGTATTTCAATTAATAGCCAGCCCGATTAATTGATAACTAATCCTTTTTGTCACTCAATAATGTTCACTTTTTAGGTGGTGGCAGTGGTTTAAAAAAACACAAAATCCAGGCAAACTCGAGTTCAAGCCCCAGGGGAGCCAAAACAAAATAAAACCAGTGAGAAAATAAGAAAACACTCCTTGTCTGTTTTCTGCAAACAGACAGAATGGTCTGAGTAAACAATAGAAATATATGCGATAAATGAAAAAATAATAACAAACATTAATCCGAGTGTTGCCTGCTCGAGTGCCCTGCAAGTGGATGATGATGATGGCTAAGGCGACTGTGAAGGAGAAGGCGATGATGATCCTGATGATGATGTGCCGAAATGGCGCACTCTCTAACCCGTGACCCAGGGCTTATCCTCGCACTGCACCGTGGTCACGCTTTTCGAGTCCTTAACTCAGCATCTCTCCGACGTATATTGGCCCGAATGTGTTTAGTTGTTTACCACTGTACAGTGAACACTGCTCGCCTGCTGGCACTCCTTAGTCTCGTGATAGTCTTCCGTTATTCTCCGCTTTGCACAGAAGCGCTAAGCAAATAAAACAAAA